AGGAAGGAAGGAAGGAAGGAAGGAAGGAAGGAAGGAAGGAAGGAAATGGGAGGGAGGGAGGAAGGGAGGAAGGGAGGAAGGGAGGAAGGGAGGAAGGAAGATTTCTCCAGGTAGATCTACAGAATATGCCATGATTAAATGGAGGTTTGCAAATGCATCAGTTTTATTCTCAAGTGCAATTGCATCACTTTTTGTCTTTATGAGGACTGCTAGGGATCCAACCTAACTCTGATATATCCTTTTTTCCTTTGTCTTCGTGATTCTTTGCACTGACCTCTTAAATCATGTACTGAAAGGAAGTTTGGGCTCCTCTGTGAGTTTTACACGAACAGCTCCAAGATTTCAATTCAGCTACTGAACAAGTGCCAAGATGCTAGTAGGTCCTCTTCGATTCTTCTCCATTTCCTCCTGTTTGGAAACAAAACAAAACAGAACAAAAGAAAACAAACATCCACACACAAAACAAAGCTATCGAAGACTCTGTGTGTGTGTGTGTGTGTGTGTGTGTGAGTGAATATTTCTGGCTCTTTCCATGCCCTGCCTACTGAACTCTTTAGGTTTTCATAAAGTTCTCTCAAGATATGGGCATAATTTTTATTTTTTTCCAGACAAGAGGAAAAAAAAATCTTTGAATTGCATGAAACTCTTTTTCCACCTTTAACCTGCACTCTACATTTTTATTGTCACCGCACTGGGAACCATCAGCAAAGCAATTTGAAAGAGAAGACACAGAGAAGTAGCAAAAGATGTGGCTGTCATTCAGCTCAGCACAGTGTCAAACTGTCAAAGGACATTAATGCTTTCAACATTTCGACTAGATTCTGTTCCTTCCATTCCTTGGATTTGAGGGTCCATTTTTCAAACAATGACCAGGCGACAACCATTTTCCCTGAATATATTTTACAGAACCTCAAGGATGTGAACAATATTTGCTACAGTTGTCTGCCAATTGCGTTGATATCACCCTGTAATATAAAACTAATATGAAGAGGAGATGCTATCAAAGGGAGTGGGTTGACTTTCAAAAGTGTCCAATTTAAAATGCATTAACATTGTGGACTGATTTTCTTTAATTTGACAAAGGGCATGGAATATGGAGAATAATGTAAGAGGTTTCAGGCATAAAGCAGGAGTATAACCAGCATTCAGATTTTAAAAGACCTGAAACATGTTCCTGGTTTTGTGTATCTTTTCTCTTGCCTGCATCAGAATTATGCAATCTATGGTTTGGGCAAAATCCCTAATGAAATACTTTATTTGCAGACTTCAAAGTGTTGCAACGTAACAGTGGGTATAACATTGGTGTAGTGGTTAAGGTATCAGGTTAGAAGCTGGGAGACCATGAGTTTTAGTCCCTCCTTACACACGAAGCCAACTGGGTGACCTTGGGCCACTCCCTCTCTCTCAGCCCTAGGAAGAAGGAAATGTCATGCCACTTTTGAAATCTTGCCAAGAAAACTGCAAGGGCTTGTCCAGGCAGTCCCCAGGAATCAACAGTGACTGAAAGGCACAACCAATCGATAAAGTTAACTGTACAAAATATGATTAAAAGGTAGGCAAAAGCAAGGAGAGAGAGAGAGGAACAACAGCCAAGAGATAAAAGGGTGACCAACCCTTAAAAAGGACCTCCATTTAACAATGGAAATCTCTCAAAGCTTCTTGGAATATATTTGAAAGGAAAACCAATTATTATTCTGGATGTCACCTAATCCTGTCCTGAAACCTGCACAGTCTTCTTCTCATGCAAAAGAAGCTTCTAGTTTCAGTAGTTTCTTCTCAGATTACCTGAGGATTTCTTTCAGTTATGACTTGGCAGTGTTTTTGAAGTTTTTTTTTATTGTTAAGAGATGGCAGAGTTGTTTCTTGGTTACATATCTATCCATCAGCTCTTGGTCCTATCCCAATATGGGGGGGGAGGGAATCATGGGATCACACCCATCTTCCTTTGGCATGTAAGTGAAACGTGTAGAGAGTAAGTCCAGAATGTCTGGATAACATTTGGAAGTGGTTCAGACAGATGTGTCCCTAATTCACTGAACTATAAGAAGGAGGAGGAGGTGCAGCACAACCAGACTTGCAATTTTCTGTTATTAAAGCCAATCTCATTAAAAGTAGTTTTAGTTTTCTAGTGGAGTTGATGTCCTGGTCTGGTCTACCTACTGGTGCTAACAAATGTGAGAAGCCAGGGGACTGTAGACCAGGGGTCTCACACTTAAATGAATATAGAGGCCACATTACATAAATTGAACTAAGCAGTGGGCTGCATTCACACACAGGCAAAAATGCAGCAAATATCAAATATTAATAATTAATTAATAAAATTAGCAAAGTACATTAAAATAATGTATTATTGGTTCCAAAGAATAATAGTTAAAAATAAATTTAAATGACATTATTGATTGTAAATAAAAGCAAACATTCTGCCTTCTGTAAAAGAGTCAAATATTCTATCACCATGGCTGCAATTGCCAACCTATCTGTTGTCTCGCTTCTCAAAGGAGTGTTGATCTGTACACACCTCTGGTCAATGGAATGACATGACCACCAGTGTTGCCTTGGTGCACTTTCATGGCCATCACATGCCAGCTCAAGGCCCATGCACAAGGCAAGACAGCAAGGATGGTTGCGGGGGAGATCAGAGGCCTGCACAACCACCCTGGAAGGATTTGAACTCTGGCAGGTCTATAGTTTTTTGAGACACTGTGGGCTTCAGACCATCCAAAGAACTCAGCAGGCTGCTTGCAGCCTACAGCCTTTCTGTAGGATTGTAGAATGAAATTCAGGTCATTCACAGATTCTCTTTGGCTACATCACAATCCACGTTCCAACCAGGAGACTTCCACCAAAAACCTTCTTTGAAAGAAAGTTCAAATTCTCTTCCATCAGACTGAATGAGAACTAGTAGAAAGAAAAAGATGGAGAATTTGTGTGCACGGAAATACCTTTATTCATTGATCAGAGTATTCTCAGGCTGCTAGTTGGTATTGTCTCTCTCATAACTTTGGGCTCTCAACGTCAGAAGAAAGAGATGCTGATCAGTCTTTTTCCCAACTCCTCACCTTACCTATCTGCCTCTCATGACCACAGAAGATTTCCAGGGGAATAGCTCCAGTCCAGAAATGACTGCCAAATACTGTGAATTGTGTAAAAGATGTTAACCTTCTGTCACTGGAAGAAGAGCAAAATTGAGGCCTAGAAACCAGGCCAGGCCCACAGCTGGAAGTGGTGAGTGCATGTTGCCATCAGAAATGACTATCAGCATCTTTGGCCATTTTATGTTTAATGAGATTCAAACAGAACTTCTCAACATCTTCTCAAAAGGGCATGAATCACTTTGGTTAGAAGAAAGGTGTGAGGAGATTGGAAGGTTGCATATTAAGCTCCATTCCTGACGTGATTATCTTTTGCTTTCTTTTACTTTACAGTTTGCATCAGTCTTTCCAGATTTCATGACAGAATGGAATAAAAACCA